TCTAATGCACTAAGCCACGAGTTCCAAGCCCTAACAGTTTCTACCACCTGCTAACAATCATCACTAATCTACTCCAAATTCATCCTAATTGCTCTACTAACCTCCTACATTATATCTAAACTAATAAAATCATGCTAACCTAATTGAATCAAGCTGTGGCAGAGTAAATGTACCTGGTGTGAAAGCTTGAAAACAGCTATGGAGACTCGTGGATCTGAGGCTTCCAAGGTTTGGATCTTGATCAATTAACTCAGTGATTGATTCTGTATGCAATACTTTGATGATTCTTGGCTTGAATTGTGCTGTCCAATGGAGATTGTGATTTTGATGTTGATGATGGAAGTGCTCGAAAATGGAGTAATCACACCTTGTTCTTGATTGAATTATGATCCATGATGATGAAACAGTATAATGAAGTTGATTTTGATGATGATTTGGTGAAGAATTTGAGGAATTGGAATGAAAATTCAATGAAAAAGAATGAGAGAATTTGGGAAATCCTTGGTGAAAAATGAAGCCAACCCTTGATCAATCCTCATTTCATGAATATATAGAGCTCATATGAACATTCTAGATCCATCTTACACATTCCCTTGCCTTCCAACTTTGATCCATTTTTGAAGTGTTTCTTAAAATGCAAGTAACCATGAATATCTTTCTTTTTTCCTTCTAAACTCAAAAAAGTGTTTGAACCATTGTCTTTGAAATGTCTTTTCCATTCAAAATCATATATTGGAAGTCTCCATTTGGACTTAGAAATCTCCCAAACCATTTTTTCTCTTGACTTTATTCAAGTTATAAGCCTTTTTTAGTTCAAATTTTGACCAATCATGCAACTTCATGCTATGAGCTTTTCCAACAACTTGTGACCTTCTTTCTAGACTTAAAATCCCATTTGGAGCAAGTTTGATGTTGTAAGTTTTTCCATTTGAGGCCTCCTTGTATGAGTTTTGGACATAGGTTAAAATGACCTGTACTTCACAAATGCCCAAAATACCCTTTGCTTGCCAAGACCATAAGTTGAGTTCCACACATCATATGAAGGCATACTATACCATTCTAGAAAGCTAAGACAATGAGGAACAATTCTTATGTTGACCAAGAATTCATTTGAAATCTCCTTGAGGGGTAAAAATTGCTTGGAAGTCAAGTCACTTTCACAGACAAAATTTCAGATACCTCAGATGACCTGTAACTTGCAAGGACCATAACTTGAGTTCTATAAATCTCCTTGATGTCTTCCACCACTCAAATTAAAGGTATTGAGATCCTCTACAAGTTTCATGTTGGCCAAGAAGCCATTTGAAGCTAGCATTTTTACTTATCTTGCTTGGAAATTTGACCTAAACTAGGGGATTTTACAGAGAAACCCTAATTTAGTAACTCCTCTTCTCCTTGATTTCTCTTGAATTCTCCTTGGCATATCTCCATATCCTTCTTTATATGTCCAATGGTGAACCCCACATCTCTCCAATAGACTTGAATGCCCTTTAAATCAGTCAATTGACCTAGGGTTGACCTAGGGTTGACCCAGATGAAACCCTAGTTGACTGTCTTCAACTATAGCTCTTATGCTTTCATCAATGACTTGTCTCCTTCTCCAAATGCCCTTATAAGTCTCTCATAATGTCTAGATACTCTCCATGCCTTCACTTCACAGCTCACAATCCTCTTGTTGATCCTCAGATACCCTCAGCTAGGAGATGGACTCAAGGCTTGATCTGCTGAGCTCTTTACTTTCAAATTCTTTCCTGATGACTTGAATGAGATTGAATCAGGATAATAACCTCTTGATAGGCTTCTAGAGATGAAAATAATGATTGGTCCCCTGTTGAATGACTTGCTATGCTTATGCTATGCAGATGATTAGTCTATGTACATGACTCTATATGCAAATGCTAATGATATTGAAACATAAACCAAGTGAATAAGGTTGGGCAAATTTTAGGGTGCAACAATAGGTATGAATTTTAGGAGTAATATTTATACTGGATTGACCCGCTATGAGAGTACTACATAGAATGCTATGCAAAGTGTCATAAGTTACTCCCATGGTGATAGTGGTGTATACCACCCTTCAACTTAAAACCATTATGGATCCTAAATGTAGAGTCGGGTACTTTATTACTGATCTAACATTGTTCGTAACTGGATAACCATAAAGACAATTGATGGGTACTCCACAAAGAATGCTAAGGGACATGAGTGACCTAGGTGGAATTTGTCCAATCTGCATAACAGGATAAATGTCTAAGGGCTTAATATTGAATTGCACAAGGATGACACGGTATATGCCTTGTGTTCAATATAGACATAAGAAAAAAAAAGGTAATTGTACATACAAGTACTATCACAAACGGTTTTGTTAGATCACATGACATTTTTGTGACTTGTGTAGCAGTGATGTGTTGCTAGATACCGCTCATTGTTTATTATATTAAATATATGATTTAATATAATTGTCAACGTCACAAGAACCTACAGGGTCACACACATAAGGACAGATTGATGAGAGATAGAATAAATAAGAAACATTGTAAGGTATGGTGTACTTGAGAGAATTATAAAACACCGTAAGGTACGATATACTTAAGTGAAATATGGAACATCGTATAATATAATAATAAGAGTTAACATTATTATTATAATAGTTATTATGATGTAATAATAATAAAATATGTTTATTATAATAATGATTATTATATTATTATTATTATTATTATTATTATTATTATTACATGGTGCACTTCAGTTGAGCTTTTTAGCTTGTAGCCCACACAAGTGGTTCTATAAATACAACCCTTGTGTAGAAGTTTTAGAACTTGATGAAATTCAGTTGGCGAATCTCTGGTTGTTTTTCTCTCTTTTTCTCTCTCATTCAAAGTCTTCATTCGTAGCAATTAACACTGAGATTGAAGGCACTCTGTTCGTGTGGACTAAGTAGAGGCGTTGTTCTTCATTCAACGCTCGTCATCATTCATCTGGATCTGCATCAAAATTGTTAATCACCACAAGAGGTAACTGTTTCTATCTCTGATCATGCTCATTCGTAAGGATCACTAAAGGGAAAATTTTAATTTCTACTGTGTTTTTTATCGCGATTTCCCTTCAATGTAAATCACATATGACATTAGATCTTCATTTCTTATTTTCCAATATATAACCAAGCACCTTAAATGGACACACATTTTCTTGTATATCTTCCACTTCTTTCACATGTCATTGTCACAAATGCACCTTGTATATCTGAATCATTATCGCACCTTCCGATTACCACATCAAATCTCAGTTTGGAGGGTTCCGCACGAATCCATTGAAGCATGTGACCACAAAATTCAAACTCTTGCTCATTTTTAAATTGTTTGCCAACATTTACCTCTTTCACGACAACACCTTTGACATCCGAAAACACAACATGTTTGAAGAAAACATAGGGGTGCAACATATCTAATAAAAACAGTTACAATAAAACACTCAAAAAATGTTAATACTGTAAACAAAGCTGAAAAAATGATAACAAATAGCCTATGAAGATGCATCTCCGGACAAAACAAACGTTTTTCATATTACAAACAAGCTTAATGTGAGCAATAAGATTTTATATAAATGATCTTTATCTGAAATTTCAGTTCATTTTGCTCCCTTTGATGTAATGAAACACAAGAACAAAGATTTAGAGTGAAAATCTTAATTGATAATTGAAGAATTTTTGAAAAGGGTTTTAAGTGGAAAACAAGTATGAGTTTGTGATCATGCAGGTGAGTGTTATATCAAATTACTCTGAAAATGCATCTCCGAAAATATTTGATATGCAAAGGTGACAGAAAAATTTAAATCTCACCACAAACCTCCATAAATGCATCTCCGAAATATCAAATTACTCTGAAAATGCATCTCTGAAAATATTTGATATGCAAAGGTGACAGAAAATTTTAAATCTCACCACAAACCTCCATAAATGCATCTCCAAAATATTCACTAGACTGCTCAAATATCAATATATTTGTTGAAAATACTGAAAGCTACATCTCCAGAATAGTTTTTTGTTGTAATATGAAGTGACACTCATTTGGTGCATCATACAAATGGTGCATGGTACATCCAAAAATATATCTCCAAAATATAAAGAACATTTTTTAATTTTTCATAGGATATTTTTTCACCCCATAAGATGGGATAAGAAATTCCCTAATATCTTTAATCGAGATTTATTAGAAGCTCACCAAACAAATCCTTGTGAGGGCAAAGTTCTCGACCCACTAACTCTAACTCGCAAGTAACACGAAAAATATGTAAATAAGAAAAGACCAAGGTCATGTGTCTAACATGTGGTCAAGGTCTAACAAGACTCTCCCTATCAATAACAAAAATATTCTAGTTCTATGGGTTAGTCTCCTACGTTAAAATAATGAGTTGCCCTATTTACTCCGCTATTGAGTCAAAACCTTGAGATGTGTAGTCGAGTTTGTAAGCATTAGAATCAGTCTTTCAATCGGCCTCTCTATGAAACAACCACTTTTATAAATACCCAACCAAACTAGATAGACTCATTCACATTTTGCATATTTTACATATCAGAACCTATATGTAGCCAGCAAAGCATCGATTCGCCACGGGTTACACCACTACATGGAGTAGGTGCATACTGCATATAGTATAAGAAATGGACATGAAACATGATTCACCTAAAGCCAAACTGGCCAGGAAGCAACAAAAATGCTATTGTAAATATAATATATTAAGCAAGTATTCACCAGGAAAAGTGAGTAAAGGACAACATTAATATCTTCCCTTAACGAGTAATCCTTTTATCATGTACGAAAACACCCCAGCCCCACTTCTACAAAGGCAATACTCTTAAATGATGTGGACGTAAGAACCTCCATGAAGCACGCGCACATAAAAATTAACATGTACTTCTTTGTATTATACATATACTAATCTACAGAAAATGCAGGCACCACATATTTCTCAGGCTGAAAATGCCATTAAGTTTAATACTAGTAAATGGCATACACTATTTCTCCACTGCTATCTATATCAAGCTCAGATTCATATTCCAACTCATCAAATTCATCGTCCATATCAATGTTATCTGCCATAAACTGGTCTAGAGAACAGGTTCCAGCTGCTGGTATAGTAGCTTCTGAAATTATCTGCATGATTGTATCAATGCTCTGCATAGGTTGTTCAGGCTCTTCAAATTGGTTGCCCATTATCTTCTCATCCATCAGGTCCATGGGAAGATTCGTCAGAAACCATTTATGTTTCCAGATCTCAGGCATGGTAATTCTCTGTCAAGGACACGTCCAAAGGCATAAGATACACTAAAAGAGTAGAACTTAAATCATAAAGTGTAGTCAATAGGGCTTTGGCCAAATACAGTAGTCTCAAATTTATGCATGCAACATTATGTCACTAGTTTCACATATAAATTACCTCTGCGGGGTCAAAAACAAAGATCCTTGAGATAAGGTGGCGACACTCTGGTGATATTTGAACAGTGTCTGGAATGGAATACTGGACACTGAGTACTCTCTGCAAAGAAGCAACCACAAGTGCTCTATCGATCAGACACTACTCATGAAGAAAATGAATGGATGGATATCTTAAGATTCGACATACCTGTATTGTCTTCCGAAAATCCTTTGGCTCATTAGGATCTTCAAAGGGATACGATCCCACTAGCATCACATATAAGGTTACTCCACAAGACCAAACATCTGCAATCTGATGTTTAAGGCAAGATAACATAACAACATTTTATTTATAATTACACTTAGAACATAGAAATCTTTCTTGATCCGCCAAAAATATACAACTACTAGAATAAGAACCTTTAACAATTTTTCAAGCACAAAATGGTTAGGATGTAACATACCAACAATACTGTAAACGACACCAACAACAACAACAACAACAACCAAGCCATATCCCACTAAGTGGGTTCGGCTACATGGATCAAAAAGACGCAGTTCTAAACAGCTAACAAAGTAAGATTTTTTAACTAATGTCAATAATATCTGAATTAAATGGAGATAACAAGCAGAAAAGAAAAATGGTTTTGATCTGGGCTGCAGACCAAAATGACCTTTGGATTAGGTGAAAACAGATTGACTACAAAACTACATGGTTTTAGTTTCTTACAAAGAAAACAATCAAGACCTCACAAGCATACAAACTATGACAAGTTATTGACAGCATAATTCTTCATTTAATCAAATGAGGCGGCAATAGTTCTACACAGAAAAGAATAATACCAAGAAATTAAACTCTCTACCTTTCCATCATACTCTTGCCTCAGTAACACTTCTGGAGCAATATATGCAGGAGTTCCCACAGTTGACTTTGGTTGTGAATGAAGCACTGAAGACTGAAAATAACACCAATAATCAGATCGCAAGATATAACAATAACGTTAAAAACTTTATGAAAGCAAATAGAGTTTCAAGAGAATGAAAATTAAAAGGATGACGGTAAAATTCAAATCATACGTGCTTAGGTTTTGATTATTTGGGAAATACATTTTCCCAGCTTCCTAAAAAGGGCTTTTAAAAAAAGACAAGCAATTATTTCCACAAAAGTAAGCTGAACCAAACAACCATATTCAAGTGTTCATCACCTTACATGCTACAGCTTTTAACAAGCTGAACTCTAACACACAGGATGCAAAACGAAGCAGAAACTACTGAACATATAATTTAGTAACTTAAGGAGCTACCGAATTCGATCATTTTCACAGTCCAGATCGGAAGAACAAAAGCGACAAAAAAGCTATAAAAAAAAAAACACTTAGATAGAAGTAGTTGAAGGTAAGCATTACTCAACCAAACACATCCCAGTAAAATGTATAAGCACAGAACTCATACCATGAAGTACTAGTGAGATAAACATATGCTTACCTTGGAGTAACCAAAATCACATATCTTGAGACGGGGAGTCGGGCTTCCATCCAACAGAGTATTTTCCAACTTCAAGTCCCGGTGACATACTTGCTTCATAAAGAGACCCATTAAACACAAGACCGATGCATCAGGCATAATGATTAGAAAATTGACTTGTTACCTATACTAAATTGCAGTGTAGGGTAAACATGATTTAGATTAGATCAGATCAGACAACAGAAAATAGAAAAAGTTGAATTACCATTGCATGGCAGTAGCTGACCCCAGATATGAGTTGTTGAAAGAAGAACCTAGCCTGCATCATGTCAATAGATTACCATTACCATGTTGCATAACATATTAGAAGTACAAACTCATGTTCTCCACGAATAAACAGTTGCTGAGAAAGTAAAAAAATTAAACAAAAACCTCGTCCTCAGAAAAATGCCCAGCATTGCTGATTCGCTCGAAAAGTTCCCCTCCAGATGCATACTCCATTACAATGGCAAGATGAGTAGGTGTTAAAATGACCTGATTGAAATTTCACATAGCATCATTACACATACATGTGATTACCCTTCTTCCTATAGAAACATAAAAATATACTAACCTCCTTAAACCTAACAATGTTAGGGTGTCTCAGAGACCTGTGATTAATGATTTCCCTCTTCACATTTTCATCTATCTGTGACACACAATAACATAAAATTATTAAAAGACAACAAAAATTGCAGTAAAAAGATTCATCCTAGAAATCATAGTAATTCTCAACAAATCTCATATATAAAAAGAAAAAGAAAAAAGTTTACAAAATAAAAATTGAAAAAAATAGTAATTCACATTAAGGTAGTACTCAAAACAAAAACGGAAACACAAAACATGGTATAAATAGCACTCCACGTCACGTAAGCAGCAACTAAAAACTCACCGAACAAACAATTAAAGCAAAAACGATGATCATGTGATAAAAAGAAAAACGTGAAAAGATAAAAATTTCCAAAACAAGAGGCAACAAATAGAACAACAAAATAAAAAAAATTAGAATAAAAAAAATTAAATTTGATAAAATAAAATATCTAAAACCTTATCACCACGTTCGATATACTTGACGGCAACAAGCTCCTTAGTCTGCTTATCTTGCATCAACCTAGCAACGCCGAAATTTCCGGACCCGATATCACGGACTAGATCGTAACGGTCGCTGTCGTGCATGATCGGCATGTCCATGCCCGGTCCAACCGTCATCGCAGCCCGATCCATCACAAAAAACCAAACCGGAAAAAAACGATTACAGAGGGGAGTGTTTAATTTTGGGAGGTGCGATTAGGAGACTTTTTAGAGAAATGGTGGTTTGTTTGTTGGTGATGGAAAGAGAATGGAAAAGATAAAATATTTGGATGGATGGATTGGGTTGGAATGGAACGAAAGCAAAGGGACTGCGTACGAATTGGTGAAAACAGGAAGTAGACAAGAAAACGGCGCCGTTTTGGTTCTGTGTTTTAGGTGACGTACATTTTGGTTCTTCACTCGTAAGCAATCTTGTCTTCTTTCTATTTTTCTTTCCATTTTTTTAATAAAATATTGTATTTGAAGTGTGAAACAGGAAATGAGAAAAAGAGAAATTACCAGGAAGGTTGGTTTATATTTTTGGAGTGACATTTAATAAAATTACAGTCTCACCGTGATTTTGTTAAAACTCTGAAATGTGATTTTTGCAGAAACTCACTAAAGTCAAAAATGCACTTTCAGTTCATATTTATAACAATTTGAGTTCACGTTTTTGTTGGAAAAATATACTATCTACAGATAAATCTTAGTATTTCTGTTTTCTATTATTATTATTATTATTATTATTATTATTATTATTATTATTATTATTATTATTATTATATATTTATAGCAAATTCAGATCCCAATCCAATAAATTATCCAAAAGGTATACAATATCTCAAGCATAAGACTGAGAGAAATAAGATGTTTTAAGTAAAGGTTTTTGAATTATTCTTAAGAATTCAGAACGCACACAATCTTTCAAGCTGAAGCAGGTTGGGGTAAGATATTTTTGTCACATGTCTTGGACACCTCTTTAAGAAACTCATAAATATCATGTATCATCTCGCGACGAAATCATATTGTCTGACTTACTCGAACTCGCCCATTTGTGAGTACATGGCGAGGTCATTTCCTCTCTTTCCTATGGGTAGGAATGTTACAAATATTTAGCGTTGATGGTTTACCTAAGCTTGATCTTGTTGATGTCCACATCCTTGTTCGACCTTTTGTCTCTCGATCTCCCGTTGGGAGACAGACACTTAACTTTAATGATTAAGCTCCTCAGAACTTCAATAAAGTTTGTTGTCATCGTTACCCTTATTCATCTAGGTTGCTTAACCTTTAATGTGGTCATTCTTTTTCACATGTCATATGTTGTTATAAATAAAAATTCTTAACGTCACATCATCTCACATTCTCAAATCACCAATTTCCTCTTCTTCTTTCTAGAGTCATTTTCCTTAGACTTTACTTTTCTTACATCTATGTCATAATGTGTTTCCTTAACAACTGGTTTTCCCCTAATGTCTCCTTCTTCTTCTTCTTCAACACGTCGTCAAGTAATATCTTGATCTATTATCCCTTTATTGTTTTTATTTCAATGATGTTTATCCGAGAGTGTCATGAGTTTGGGAGCACCGTAGAGGCTCAAACCGTTTCGAAAAGAAATGAGTTATGGAGTGATGCCTAGAGGTCTCCAAACAAAACACGAGAAAGATGAATTGGGGTTTCAGGAAGATGGATTTGTGTGACATCTCCCTTAGTTCTTCTAGCAATAGTGACAATGACTTAGTGTCTTCTTCCTCAGGTTCATTCAAGATTATCATGGAGCTTTCTGTCATTATTTTTAACAAAGAGGTATTGAATTTCAACTTTGTTTGTGTAAGAACAAGATTTGGCTATGCATCTGGCCTTAAGTTTTAATGACAAAAATACACGGGTTTATAAAGAACAATTTTGTACCCTAATGGTTTTGTTAAGTGCGCAGATACTAGAAAGAAGTTATGACTCTAAGAAAGTGACGTGAGACGTCATCAGACTCTGAACCTAGTGCACTCTGATTCAAGAAGTAAAACAATGTGTGTTCTACAAAGACAATCAATCTCTGGATTACTCTGTTCAACGCTTTTGATCATCGCTTATCCAGGAAGCTTTGGTTTATGACTCTAATAAGAGAAATGTAACACCCCATTTAATTATTTAGTCGTTTTTTAATTTATTTTGTGTGATTGTTTTGGTATTGCTTTGGTTAAAGGTATGTGTGTAAGGGTGAATGTGAGAGCTTAGTGGAATGAATTAAATTAAGTCTTAGGACAACCTTGTAGTAATAATAATATGACTCCTAAGACTTAATTTAATTTGACAATGAAATCTTCTAATTAGTTCCTCCAATGAAATCTTGTTCAGATCTTTAGCCATTTTCAGCGCAGTCACCATAGGTCTCCATCTGGTAGGTAAGCTTCTGATGATCTTTTTCACATGAACAGTAGTGGAGTATCCTTTATCCAGAACTTTTAGTCTAGCTGTAAGTATTTGAAATTTAGAGAACATAGCTTCAACAGATTCAGCTTCTTCCATCTTGAAAGCTTCATACTTCTGGATTAGAGGCAGAGCCTTTGTTTCCTTGACTTGAGAGTTTCCCTCATGAGTCATCTTTAAGGACTCAAACATGTCAAATGTAGTTTCTCTATTTGTAATCTTTTCATACTCAGTGTGAGATATTGCATTTAACAGTATTGTTCTAGCCTTATGGTGATTTCTAAATTCCTTCTTTTGGGCTTCTGTCATAGATTTTCTATCTACTTTCTTGCCATTCCCATCAATGGGATGAACATATCCATCTATGACCAAATCTCATAAATCAGCATCATAACCAAGGAAAAAACTTTCAATCTTGTCTTTCCAATAATCAAATTTCTCCCCATCAAACATAGGGGGTTTAATGTTGATTTTGTCCCTTTCTTTATATTTGTTGTTAGTGTTAGACATTGAATTATCAGCCATAGTAACCACCAAATATATATCAAAGTTTTTCTCACTGGATCTTTTCTGTCACTATGAAGTGGTAGCACACACAAAACCGGAGCTCTGATGCCAACTAAAGGTGAGAAAATACTTAGAAGGGGGGTTGAATAAGTATGAAGATAAAAACTTGGAAATAAAAACTCAAGTATTTTTATCCTAGTTCGTTGAACTCAATTACTCCAGTCCATCCTTCCTAGAGTGATTTGCCTTTCTCAATCAAGGACTTAATCCACTATTTAATCAACTGATTACAATAGTAAGCACTAAGAACAACTGTTCAAAGTCTTCTCAAGAACTACTGATCCTAACTGGATCTTCTTAAGGTTTTCTTACAATCAAATGTAATAACAAATACAAGTGTTAAAATGCTTCTAATAAAGCTTTATCACAACTGTGATTTTTTCACTTAATATTAAGAGCAAAGAAATTAATTCTAGAAAGAATATGAGTTGTATGGGAGCTTTGAATAATGAATTCTTTTCTTGTCAAAACGTCAACTGAAGAAGATGAGTGGAGACTTGCTTTTATAGACACAATGGTCCAAGAACTTTTCACGTTGAGAAGTGTGTACCAAAAGGTCTGAGCCTTTTTGTCTTCACATCAAGTGACCTTTCCTAGAAGAAGAAAGCACAGAAAAATCCTTTTTGTCTGTGTTCTTGTGTCTAGCATAAATAAGGAAAGAGTCGTTTGGATATTCCAACGGACATAATCTTTGAGTTCTTCTTCATCCATTTTCAGCAAGAATCATCAGAGTCTAAATTGATCAGAGCCTTCTGATGTTGATCAGAGTTTTGCTGAATCAGAGTCTTTGCAGCAAGTGTGCTTTTAACGTGTATAAGTTCAGAGCATATTTTTGAATCAGATCCTCAGTACTGACAGCTTTAGTACTCTCAGAATCTTCTGTAGTAACTATGCTTGAAAACTCTTCATACAGAATCCTTCTTTGGTTCAGATGCTTCTGACTTGCTTCAGATTCTTCTGGAGCTTCTGCTTCAGATCCTTCTGGAGGCTATGCTCAGGATCTTCTGATGGCAGCGTTCAGAATCTTCTAATGAGTGCATCTGACGCTTCAGAGCTTTGCTTATTTCTTATGTTCAGATCTAATTTGCTTCTGGAGTGATATTTAATTTAATATCTGCAGCAACCATTCTTAAGCAAATTTTAGAGTATATAATTCTTAATTACAAAATTTCATAATAGTTATCATCAAAACATAGAGATATTATTAAGAATCAATCTGTGTTCTAACAATCTCCCCCTTTTTGATGATGACAAAACATTAGAAATTTTGTTTAATTGAAAATAGAATAATTATAACTCCCCCTGAGATGATGAATCTCTCCCTGAATTAAATATAAATAAGGAATAGAAACTTCCCTCTTGTCTTGAGTATTTTTCAGAGTTAGAGCTTGATTGTTCTTTAAAATTTGAGAGTCAGAGTCTCTTGCATATTTCAGAGTCAGAGTCTGATAATTGTCAAATGATCTGAGAGTCTCAGAGTTTCTTTTACAGAGTATACTTATCAAATGTTCTGAAATACTCAGATTTTATGTTAGATAAAATTGATATGTCTGAAGTTTCATTCTGGTGAAGTTTAATTAAACAGTTCAGATCTATTTTCTCCCTTTTTTTGTCATAAGCAAAAAGTAATAACTTTGAAAAGACAAAGAAAAGGAAACAATAAATGAGATAAATCATGTGGAGAAAACTTTGAAATATTCATTCATTCATTCAGAACAAAAGTACACACATCAGAAGAAATTCAAATACATATGCAAACATCAGGAAAAAAAATAAATAAACTAAGATTGTTTTGACAAAAGCATCTTCAACAGATCCGTGATCTCAGAAGAAGACTGTTCTTGTTTAGACATCCACTTAGCCATGGTTTCATTCTTCTGATCCTGTTTGGACATCCACTGAGCCATGTCTTCAGACTTCTTGTCTTGCTTATCCATCCAAGACTTAATCTCTGATTGACCAGCTTCCAGAACTGCAATCTTATCTTCAAGATCTGGATATTCTTTCTTGATCTCAGATGAAGAAGGTGGGACAGATTTTGAATCATGAGCAGAGTCAATTTCCATAGGGGATCTAGAGTTAGGAGCAGCAAATCTAGAGGGATGTTCTACCAGAGTCATAGCAAGAGGGTTGTCTTCAGATGTAAATTTAGTATGCTCTTC